AAAGTATGCATGAAATTTCTAAATGGTTCCCAATCGGTCAATCCGGACTATGTGCTGAAGATGAGTCCAGGTAGCCTACATACGTACTTCTTTTAGGTTTATTGCTAAGGTCAAATGTATTTACTCGACTTTAGAAGCTCGCTTGGTGTTCACAGAAATTCCCGAAAAGGTTACGTCAGATGGAATGAATATACTTGGCCTCGTAATGTTCAGCGTAGCGCTGGGAATTACAATCAGCTGGATCGGAGAAGAGGGACTTGCACTGAAGGCTTTTTTCAAGAGTCTTGAGGCAGTTAGCATGAAACTCATTTCACTCGTTATCTGGTGAGCACATTTTGTTTTGACTCGCAACCATTACAAACACTACGCCGCTATAGGTATTCTCCCGTCGGCATCACATTTCTAATTGCTGCGCAAATAGTTTCAATGAAAAACCCAGGAAAAGAACTCCAGCGATTGATGGGTTACATGATTACCGTGCTGCTTGGACTTTTTATCCACGGATTTGTATTGTTGCCAATCTTGATGATTACTGTAAGTAACTTAGTTTGACACCATAGCATGCTCTACAAGAATTGACTGGAGATACCATATCGTTTTAGCTGGCCAGGAGAAATCCCATAAAGTACGTCTGCGGCATGGCTCAAGCACTTCTGACTGCTTTAGCCACCAGTTCAAGGTATGAAATCTTCTACACATATGAAAACCCCAACATTATGTTCCGGAAGCACGAGTATTGGGTTGTAAAGTTCAATTAAAGCTTTTCTAAGCCTATAATAGAGATGATGTAAGGGAGGTTTATAACTTCCAAACTCATTCATTATTTGCAAATTAGGTTTCAACAAATGTTGTAATGTCACTTGACATATTACTACAAATCTTTTAGCCCTTACCAATAAGATGAGAGTAATTTAGTAGTATGACACTAAGCTTGTTTCGAAAGGTTTTTTTCTACCTTTGACGTATATGACTTTCTAAAGCACAAAGCTACCAAGGTTTGAAAAACTGGATTTTGGTGGAGAATACATCACATTTCG